GTACATTTTGTATTTTAAAGTTTAGATTCACGAATGTGAAATTGCAGACTCCAAAGCAAACCTAAAAAGCTTTCAGCTTTTGTATAGAATATAAATAAATTTTTACAACTAAGCAGCTATCTTTCATAAAAAAAAACAGCTTAATATTCGCAGTCAGCTTAAAATGTTCTCCTTTTTGTTACGTGATAAACTTTTATTTTGGCGTACTTTGCCAACTTGTGCCCCTTGTAATTACTTGGCCAAGTCTTGCGCTCAGATTGTAAGGCAGAAGGCGACTCTGTAAATTGGCTTTCCAAAAATAACACCTGCCCAAATTATTAAGTAATTAACCGAGAGCCAAGACACAGCCTAATCCTTTCGCCCCAAGCACCCGTCTGTGTTCTTGTTGACTCATTAAAATTAATGGCAAGACTGACGCCAACACGGCTCTGCATATTAATGGCCGAAATGTCCGCGGGGATAATATGCCGCTAATAAGAAATTAAAAGATACTTGTCCAATGAGCTAGTACACAAAGTAACCGCGCTGGGCCGTTCTCGATTTGACAGCGACAACTGTTTGTTTTAATTTGGAAGATTTTTCAATGCCGCCCCAAAAATTAACTAATTGCCAAATGATGGAACGGCAACGGGTTGAATGTCGGAGAATCGACTTGAACATGCATTTTTAAATAGTCCGCTCAAAATGACCGTCCTGGGAGCGCTCTTTGAGACGAGAGGAAGAAGCAGCGAGCACCTGGGAACAGAGAGTAGCATCTAGCGTTGACACCTCATTGGCATTGATGTGAATTGAGCCAGGAATTGACTTTAAATCGGTTCATTTAAAACTCGGCGAGTGCGCCCAAAGGTATGCAATGGTTTATGCAAATTAAATGCACTCTGGCTGCATTTTTACAGACGAATATCGAATAAAGCGCAGCCCTCGGCAATAATTAAATAAAATGCGAGTTGTACCATGCACCCAATACTTTATAAATGCCAATAGGGCATGCTGACCCTCACCTCATCTCAAATAGTTTAACAGCACTTTCTTATGGGTCGATAAGTAAATCCTTGAACAGTTTTATTCATTCAATGAAATATATAAACTTTAAATATGTTCTTAAGCTTAAACTCTTCCAGATTTGAACATTGGATGTTGATATTTGTTGCTATTAATAATAAATCATATCTAAAATATATATTGAATGACTCAATTATTTTTGATAAGCTAGGGTATCCCTTGGTCGAGCAGTCTGTTGCCGCTCCTGCAGTTATACAGTACATATGATGCCAAAGGGCATTTCCCGCGTGTATTTATGGATGCACTGCGCACAAGAGTTGTGTCCAGTTGGGGACAGGGGACTGTGCGTGGCACATTTGTTTATTGTTTTCGCAATTACAATTAAAATTTTTTGCGCCCTGGTCGCGGGTTTTGGTTGGTTGCTTGGTGCAAAAATTATCGCCAAGCCCATTTGCGGTAATTATTTAATGTGCTCTCCCAGGTGGGGCCCCAAAACGTAAAGGTTGTCAGCCAGCAGCACCGAATAACAACAACGAGAACAACAAATGGAATTAACCTTAACGTAATGCGTGCAATTCCTACTATGACGCCGACTACGGCTGCCACTGCAGCAAGGATCGCCAGTGTGTCAGTTGTGGCAAGTCCTTGGCTTTGTAGGTTTGCACTGTTGCTGGTCAATTAAATTCTGCCGAAGCACGCACCTGCCTTGACATTGCACTGCCCGTGCGCAGTACACCCCGCCTCCTACGCGTAGCCGGATGTGGACATATGCAGGTGCCGTGCGGACCGTCTGTGTCCCATTGCTGGCACCGGCTCTCGTCCGGCGCCCTCTGTCATAATTAATGCCAGTTAAGTCCCGTGTTCCGTCGCCCCAGGCGCGGCCACATTTCGAAGTCCACATGCCACAGACCACACTGCCGCACAGCTCCATCCCTCCTCGTACTATTGTGCCTGTTTTAATTCAATTTCATGCTTTCACAATTGTAGTGTAAAATTTACGCTCTTTTCGGTGTTTAATATGCGCACCCAACCTGGGCCAAGTTCTCGCCCCCGAATACTCATAAAGTGTCATCCATCGGTGGCAGCGGCCGTTTACAATTAGGCGCAACTTTTTAAATATTTTGCGTGCAACATTTTTTAGGGCAAATATTTATAATTTCCCGGGAGGGCGATTTACCGGCCCCAGGTCCCCCACTTGTTTGTTATTTGACAAATTTTTATTTGCATTTCAAGTGTCTGCAAGAAAGAAAAGACAAAGATGCCTGACCCAAATCTCAAAAGTAACTGAAAAGAAAAGTAATAGAAACTTGCAACAACCATTGGCAAACACTATAATGTTTTTTTTTTCTTTTGAGATGACCTAATTCGTAAAATAAATTTACAATTATAATTATCATTATTATTAATATCCGTATAGGATATACGCTGGCAGGATTCGAGTAAAATAATTCTCCATTTATATACGAGGTATCAGATCTATTACACGCATGTGTGTATACATGTTATTAATAATAATTATTTGGACTAACTAAATACACGATTTCTTCATTAGATGAGCATATGAAGATGGGTGTTTTATAATACTTTACAATTATGTTCTCAAACTTCACCCCGTTGAGCAATAACTGGGGTGATGGGGGGGGCAGTGGAGTGTGTCCTGGAAATAGTTTTGCATAAATAGGCTGGCCAACAAGCCGTGAACGCAACGTGAGAAAAAGTTAATTAATTTATGTCACATTCGTTATGTGCACTTGGGAGCGGGTCGTGCATTATCATAGTTTCAGAGGGCGTTAATGGACGTCCATGATTAAAACTACGCATGTTTGTCCATTTAAGCCCGTAATTTGTGTCGTAAATCACTCCGAAGAGTCAGCTCCTGGTGCGGCCCACGCTTCGCACCTTCGGTGACCTGCTGGCCAATGTAAGGCTTGTTTGCCTAATGAGTCTAATTGGGGATGAAAATGAAATTGGAGCTGGAGTTGGATTACCGTCACGTAATCGGCAAGTGCTTAAAACCCTTTTTCGGTGCAGCTTACAAGTCCTTAGGAGGTCATATGAGTGCGTGGACGACTATCATGATGCCAGAGCGGTGTCATCGTCATCTTGGGCTGCTCAGCCATCATTAGCCCGAGAGCGGGGCGTTCCAGGTCGCTGCGGGCTCAACTGCGGGACGGGTCGGGACGAGTTCGACGATTCGCCTGCCTGTAAAACCGGTTCATTTGCATATCAAAGGCATAATCAACACCTTGCAAACAGCCAAACACAATGTGGCAGAGTCCGAAAGCCACAGAACACACACTCGCACATGTCCATGCGCAAGGTGAGTCCATAAAAACCCTGTTTCTGGACCACGGGACATACCGACAGACTGGCAGACCGGCAAAGACCGCATTGCAGCATTGACGTGCTCCATTTGCCAGAGCTCCATAAGCTTCTCATTTGCATGCGTACATGTGACGTTGACCCAATCCTCTACCCCGAGCCCGACTCACCGACTCCACCAGACAGGAACTGGTTTTCCAGGCACCTCATTTGCTTGTCTCCATACTTCTGGCTGACTAGCAACCGCATCGCGACCCCTCATTTCTGGCTAGACCCGTCGTGGGAGGCGGGCGAACGCTTTTACTGCCGTAAGGTGTGAAATTATGAGCCTTGCATTAGTGCTAATTGGCTCCACGTGCTGTGGATGCAAATGAGCGACAGACTGCAGTTCTGTGCATGAAACAAGGCAAATGGGATACAAGTACAATATACCTTTTGGCTTGAGTATCTATAATCGATAATCTCTATCCTGACTGAAAAAGAGGAAATCTCAAAACATCCAACAACTCGTGTGTGACTGCTTTACGAGGGAATAGACTAGCTTTCTGGGGACCCCGATCTTTCCAGTCATGTATCCTCGAGAAACAAGCTTGTTTAAATCCATATCAGCCTGACTAACTGCCTGCCTAATATAGCATTTGGCTAAAGGTTCAAATTTTATAAATAGGAGCAGGTTGTTTTGGCTCTGAAGTTAACGAAAATGTCAGTAGCTCGATGCCCCAGGTATGAATCTCTGTTTAAAATCAGCTAGCTGAATTCCATATAATACTGTCCATTTATTTGTACTTCCCTGCCATAACATTTGTATATTACATAAGCATCCACATGACCCCCCCTTTAACTCTAGTCGTGTCACCCCTCTCTGCGCTTCAGCTTGCGTCTCCTAGCTGCTCCAAACTGACTTTCACAACGTGTCTGGAACAGTTTGGGAACGAAACAGTCTTGAACGACTTTGGAGCTGGTCTGCCAGAGCCATGCTCGGTCCGCATTGGCATCGGCAGCGCCCCCCCTCGACCACAGTGCGCCAACTGGACGAGACCAAAGTTCTGCAGCTGCGCAGTTGGCGCCGCCGTCTAACTTCCAAGTGAGCGCCACACACATTTCGGGGCGGAGCCAACGCCGCATTGGTGGCATTTCGCAGAGGCGACTGCGGCGGCCTCTGCCGATGTAGACATTAGGTGCTCAGCTTGAGCCAGCCCAGCAGCCGCACAGGAGGCTCAAGTGGCGCCCACTCCATGTGCCTTTAAATATTTTAATGGCTAACAAAAGCATTTTTGCATGGAATTTATTATGCTCCCAGCCAAATATTTATTTTCCGCTAGGTACTCTGGCTGCACATTTTCACATTATAATACACGCATAAGTCTATAAAACTTGTTTAAATTGGATCCATAAGCAAATTTCATAAGTTTGCTTTTGCTCATAATCCTTTATACCAAAGTTTTTTTATAAAACATCAGTATCTCTTTAAATATCATTTAGTTAGTTTTATAAACGACTTATGAATTAAATTCCCTTTTTACCAATAATTATTTACAATATTTATACTTTTGGTGCGTTGTTGGGAGATTTTTCAATTTTAAAGAAAACTTCGTTAACTTAACAAAATCTGTCTATTGTCACAGGAACTTTTGACAAACTCATAACACAAAAGATTTCATTATTTGTATATAAATAACTTTAGCGTTTCATCGAAAATATTAAATGTGTGCCCACATATATTGTTGCATATTTAGTGAAACATGTACAAAAGAGTTTTGCAAATAGTATATGGATGGATCCTACTTTTTTGTTGCTAGCCGTTACTTGTCGGAATAGAAACTATCATGCAAAAACATTGTTTTCAAAACCATTTTGGGCTCGTAAGGATCAGTAAGTATCAAAATCGATGCGTTAAAAAAGTTCTTGACTAGAAAACGAATCGTTTGTAAAGCCAACCTGTTTTGATGATTTTATGGGATATCTCGGCCAAAAACTGTCCGATTTTAGAATTCTATACCATATTCGACCCGTAAGAATCTGTACTTTCGATTGGCATCAAAAAATAGAAAATCTAAATTTTGACCCAAATTGACCAAAATTCAAGGGGTTACATCATGTCTTTTGTCAAAATCGGGGTCGGTTCAAAAATCAACACTTTTTTTATGCTCTTTTTAAATATCGCGGGTAAACACTGTCAGATTTTGAAATGTTATACCTTTTTCAATTCGTACGGATCCCTACTATCAATTGGCATTCAAACAATTTAAAAATCGATGGCTTGGAAAAAGTTCTTGACTAGAAAACGAATCGTTTGTAAAGTCAACCTGTTTTGATGATTTTATGGGATATCTCGGCCAAAAAATGTACGATTTTGGAATTCTATACCATTTTCAACCCGTAAGAATCTGTACTTTCGAATGGCATCAAAAAATAGAAAATCTAAATTTTGACCCAAATTGACCAAAATTCAAGGGGTTACATCATGTTTTTTGTCAAAATCGGGGTCGGTTCGAAAATCAACACTTTTTTTATGCTCTTTTTAAATATCGCGGGTAAACACTGTCGGATTTTGAAATGTTATACCTTTTTCAATTCGTACGGATCCCTACTATCAATTGGCATTCAAACAATTTAAAAATCCATGGCTTGGAAAAAGTTCTTGACTAGAAAACGAATCGTTTGTAAAGTCAACCTGTTTTGATGATTTTATGGGATATCTCGGCCAAAAAATGTCAGATTTTGGAATTCTATACCATTTTCAACCCGTAATAATCTGTACTTTCGATTGGCATCAAAAAATAGAAAATCTAAATTTTGACCCAAATTGACCAAAATTCAAGGGGTTACATCATGTTTTTTGTCAAAATCGGGGTCGGTTCAAAAATCAACACTTTTTTTCATGCTCTTTTTAAATATCGCGGGTAAACACTGTCAGATTTTGAAATGTTATACCTTTTTCAATTCGTACGGATCCCTTCTATCAATTGGCATTCAAACAATTTAAAAATCGATGGCTTGGAAAAAGTTCTTGACTAGAAAGCGAATCGTTTGTAAAGTCAACCTGTTTTGATGATTTTATGGGATATCTCGGCCAAAAAATGTCAGATTTTGGAATTCTATACCATTTTCAACCCGTAAGAATCTGTACTTTCGATTGGCATCAAAAAATAGAAAATCTAAATTTTGACCCAAATTGACCAAAATTCAAGGGGTTACATCATGTTTTTTGTCAAAATCGGGGTCGGTTCGAAAATCAACACTTTTTTTATGCTCTTTTTAAATATCGCGGGTAAACACTGTCAGATTTTGAAATGTTATACCTTTTTCAATTCGTACGGATCCCTACTATCAATTGGCATTCAAACAATTTAAAAATCCATGGCTTGGAAAAAGTTCTTGACTAGAAAACGAATCGTTTGTAAAGTCAACCTGTTTTGATGATTTTATGGGATATCTCGGCCAAAAAATGTCCGATTTTGGAATTCTATACCATTTTCAACCCGTAAGAATCTGTACTTTCGATTGGCATCAAAAAATAGAAAATCTAAATTTTGACCCAAATTGACCAAAATTCAAGGGGTTACATCATGTTTTTTGTCAAAATCGGGGTCGGTTCGAAAATCAACACTTTTTTTTATGCTCTTTTTAAATATCGCGGGTAAACACTGTCAGATTTTGAAATGTTATACCTTTTTCAATTCGTACGGATCCCTTCTATCAATTGGCATTCAAACAATTTAAAAATCGATGGCTTGGAAAAAGTTCTTGACTAGAAAGCGAATCGTTTGTAAAGTCAACCTGTTTTGATGATTTTATGGGATATCTCGGCCAAAAAATGTCAGATTTTGGAATTCTATACCATTTTCAACCCGTAAGAATCTGTACTTTCGATTGGCATCAAAAAATAGAAAATCTAAATTTTGACCCAAATTGACCAAAATTCAAGGGGTTACATCATGTTTTTTGTCAAAATCGGGGTCGGTTCGAAAATCAACACTTTTTTTTATGCTCTTTTTAAATATCGCGGGTAAACACTGTCAGATTTTGAAATGTTATACCTTTTTCAATTCGTACGGATCCCTTCTATCAATTGGCATTCAAACAATTTAAAAATCGATGGCTTGGAAAAAGTTCTTGACTAGAAAGCGAATCGTTTGTAAAGTCAACCTGTTTTGATGATTTTATGGGATATCTCGGCCAAAAAATGTCCGATTTTGGAATTCTATATTATTTTCAACCCGTAAGAATCTGTACTTTCGATTGGCATCAAAAAATAGAAAATCTAAATTTTGACCCAAATTGACCAAAAGTCAAGGGGTTACATCATGTTTTTTGTCAAAATCGGGGTCGGTTCGAAAATCAACACTTTTTTATGCTCTTTTTGAATATCTCGGGTAAACAGTGTTAGATTTTGAAATTTTATACCTTTTTCAATTCGTACGGATCCCTACTATCAATTGCCATTCAAACAATTTAAAAATCGATGGCTTAGAAAAAGTTCTTGACTAGAAAACGATTTGTTTTGATGATTTTATGAAATATCTCAGCCAAAAAATGTTTGATTTTAGACTTTTGACTAAGACATTTCATTTTTTGATTAATTCCAAAAAATATCGAGAGCTGATTTGATTTAACGTTCTATTCAGACAGAAAAATATATTCGAATTACAGTTTGAAAATGCGTTTGAAGTAAGGTAAAGGTAAAGGTAAGAGCTGAACGAAACTAACGAAGAGCATAAAAACTGAATTTCGATTGGATTAGAAAAGTAACTCGTTTTATTCTTTACAATAGATAGACCACTATTTCGACCCTATCTTGATAGTTGTTGGGGTTTCCACATAACGGTTATTTGCCACCTAAAGTGCTGTTTCATTCTTTTTTACGATTACATTGCCAGTGTGAATGTGGTTCGCATATGTCTGTGATTGTGGTAATTGTCATGTAATAAAAGCCAGAGAACCTTGCTGACATCTGATGAGACAATAAGCCAACGCCACTTGAGCAGTTGAACTTTCCACCCCAAGAATGTGCCGTAAGCCAGCAGATGGGAAAAAAATAACTGAGTCAGCCAAGTATCGGCAGCTTTATCTCAGTTTTAAGAGTAGACACATTAGAAGTTAGCCTTCGTAGAGTTTATTCCGTCGGCGGGGTCTGTGTGTAATTATTGGACCCAGTGTCATGTTCAACCCGCTCGTAAATTATAGAGATCCTTATGGCTAATATGTAATTTATGGCCTAGCTGCAAACAAAAAAAAAAACCCGCTACATGGCAGTAACATTTTACACACACGTAAAACAAATGCGGCGGATTTGGCGTACATTAGCCGCAGGAAAGGACCAAAGCCGGAGACTTATTTTGTGGTCAACATTGCCAGCCATTTAGTGGTGCGCACGTGTGTTGACCTTTGGTCGTGCAGGGGCAGGGGGGAGGCACGAAAACCCACATCAATGCCCACGTAACCTTTTTTACAATCTAATTACAGTGGCCCCCGGCTAAGGTGCTGCCCAAAAATGTGGCTCACTTTAAAGTCGCAGCTTGGTGCACTTTAAATAATCCATTAGCGATTACAGAATTGACATTGACTAGAACCGGGCGCAGCTCGACAAAAGGGCTTAAAAGCTAAAACCTGTTGAGTCGTTTCTCAATTCCCCGAACACTTGCCAAACTAAAGCCAAAGCCAAGGCAAACTCACCAAGCATCACCGCCCAGCCCAACCCTTTGGCCCATCCCGCCAGCCTCGCTGCCAAGCATCTTACAGCCATCTCCTTGGCACAGATTATGGCTGCTTTGAATAACAATCGATGGTGCGACAATGGAGCTGCCGATGATGGAGATGGCAATGCAAATGGAAGTGGCTGCTTCTGCCCGCCCTTTCTCTTCACATCCGTATTGTCTTGACATTTTATTACTGTCTGGAACAGCCAGCGGCAGATGCAATGCTTCGGTTACTTAACTTACATTTTTCCTATTTGGCAAACTGATTCCTATTTTTTTGTGTCCATATCCTTCATGGGCAATAAATTGTTTTTGTCATCGACGCAGGGACAAAGTGAATTTCTTTCTTTGGCAGCGAGCAAAAAGCATTCGAGACAGATATCCATTCAATATAAATATTTATATATTTTTTCCCACCATTCAAATTAAAATACTTGCTTAATGCTTAATGAGCTTCGAATTTTTTTATGAGCTTAAGACTCGTTTCATTAAACTGAGAGTGATTAATGAAGCTATTTATTCGCCAGCGACTATCATCAATATCATATTAGGTCTATTTAAATCCAATAATCTATATACAATTATGCCAAAAAAAAAATATATTTGTTGCTTAAACAAACAACAAATTATAACCAAGTTCTTATCAGGAGCATAACTTAGCTACTATTTTGTGAATTTGGGGTATTAATAAGTTAAAAGAAACCGAACTGCAATAAGCGTATAATTATTGTGCTGTCAGATAATACTACTATATAATTTCCGTGAACTGATAGCTGCGCTTTTGACTATTGTTGAACTCTTTAAATAAAGAGTATAGATTTTGAAGTATACTAAACAAACTAATAGGTTAATAGAACTTAATAAATGCATTTACTAATTTTAAGCAAACTTCGTATTTGCAAGAGGTAATATGAATTCTAAGCATCTAACAATGAAATACTAATACTTACTTTTAGAAAAAAGTCAAGTCATTCCGCGCGGAGTTATGTCGTTTTGGAACGTCATATCTCCGCGCGGAGCTATTACGCGAGATATTCAAAAAATCATCGAAAAAGTTTTGATTTTCGCACCGACCTCGATTTTGAAAAAAACGTGATGTAACCCCTTGCCATTTTGTCGATTTGGATCAAAATTTTGAATTAAGCACATATGATAAAAAAGGAACTTAAATAGCATTACAGAAAAAAGTCGCAATAACCATGCTGTTAAAATGCGAAGCATCTTCTTAAAGATGCTGCTCTATTCAATTGCGCAGTTGCATATAACTTTGGTTTTTTTTTAACCGATCTTCATGGAATTTTCTGGGGTGGTAGCGGAGAGGTGGCGATAGGTATAAAATGAAAGATACTTGACAAATATATAATTTTTTATAAGCAACATATCATGTTTCGTGACACTAGCTCTTATTATTTACCAAAATTGACAGACAGACGGACATGGCTAGATCGACTCGACTATTGAAGCTGATCAAGAATATATATACTTTATGGGGTCGGAGATGCTTCCCGTTTTTAAGGGGTTAGGGTATAATTATAATCCATGTCTGAGTAGTTATTAAAGATGTTTAAGCTCGGCTAAGCTTGGCTTAAGATAATCTCTACGAGGCAAACACTTTAATTGCCATTTCCGTAGGTGCAAATAGACTATGAGCAACAATAAACAAATATAAATACAATTGAATTATCTTAAAGGTGATTTTCGTTGGAATTGTGAACAGCCCATGGGGAAGTATTTTTTTATTATTATTTTATTTCTATATACTTTTTTTTCTGTGTTGTGTTCACGAGCTGTTGGCCAACAATGTGCATGCCAAATCGCAGTTGACTTCGCCAATAATCATAAATAATTCCATTACAATAATTAGTAATGCATACTTAATGGTGCTTGAAATCAAATAATCGACTAAGTATCTAAAAAATCTAACAAAAAGCACGGCGAAGCCACAGAACCACGGTGAGGGGCAGACGGAGGAACAGGGGCATGACGGAGACAAAGTCTCCGACTGAGGTCGCCGCGAAACAAACAAATTAATCAATGAGGTAATCACAATTTATTCTACAAAATGATCAAGTTATGTATCTGCCAACTGTTAGTTCTGCTCTGCCAACAGTTGTTGTTGTTGTTGATGTTTTTGTTGTTGTTGTTTTTGTTGTTGTTGAAGATGGCTTTGGCTTTTCTTTGTCTTACTCTGTGACCCACTGTGCGAGCGATCGTTGCCTTTGGGATGACAAAAAGCAAAAAAAAACAAAAAAAAACAAATAGTACAAAAATGGTTGGCAATATACCGAATATTGTATACTCTTTAATGTATATTTAATGTATGTTTGATGTTATATTGCTTTTCAGATCAAAATATTATTATTTTTTTGCTTTTAAAATGTACTTGTATGTTATTTTGAATTGAAAACTTTTCTGTATTATGAGATATCCATCTATCTGCCTTCTGTACCATGGAGGTTGGAGCTATAAATCTATTACTTACATATGAGCCCATGTGACAGGTTATTGTGTTATTTTAGTGGAAGCACCTGTGCGTTTAGTGTGAATGGGGAATTGAGGAAGTACTTTGCTACAAATAAACCAAATACGTCATGTCTGTTATCGATATGTAGCAAATTTAATGAGCAAGTTGCTAGACTCGCGAGAACGCGTTGAACAGGTGAATGCGAAAACTTATAATCTTTGCCTCTACATGAATTTGGCTCATAATTTGTGCTGGCTGCTGCCACATAACAAATCTCTAAAAGCGAAGCGCGAACAACAAAAGGCCACTTCATTAGGAGAATATGTATATCAGCGGGAAAGGGGCCAACAGAGAGACAGGGGAAGGAACCGCTCAAAAGCTTACAGCGCCGCTGGCAGCAGCGATCGGAGCTCAGTCGTCAAACGGCAGCATTTAACTAAAGTCGCAAGCCCGGAGTGGGAGCAGATCGCAGCTGGAAGCATAACCAGAACCAGGCACGGAACAAGAAGCGGCAAACGCTTAGCTGAGCGCTATCTACGTATTATTCTATTTGTGGCTTACAAGATGTTTGGCACTCGACGACATTTGGTAATTTGATTGATGCTCATTTGGGCTGGTTAGCTGGTGAGTGTCTAAATTGGGAATTCTCTTTTAGTTGCTGGTTATGACGTTGAGCGTGCTGCTGCTAGGCATCAGCTGGGCAGCTGAGCAGCCCGAGCAGCCCGAGGAGGTCATCAAGGAGGATGTGATTGAGATTGAGAACAAAACGCAAAAGGTTATACGCGTCAGTCCGCTGGAGCTACCCCTGAAACAGGACCGCACGGGCAGCCAAATGAACTCGGAGCTCTTCCAGATCCAAACACTGCGTCCGGGCGCGCAACGACCACGACAGCGTCTGTATGTGGACTCGAAGCGCATGCGTCCCTCGAGGATCGCCACTGGTGAAGCATCGCAGCCCGCCTTGAAATTCTCGTACACGCCCGAACTAAAAGCCTTTCCCAAGCAGAAGCTGAAAATGAAGCAACAGAAGCAGCAAAAGCAGCTGCACTTCCCGCTCGAGTCTAGCGCGAGTCCCATGGAAGCGCTGCCCGTCCAGATGACGCCCGGTCCCTATCCCATCTACTATGTGGTGTCCAAGACGAACGGTCGCTTCGGCAAGTTTCCCATCAAGTCCTTCCGCTCGCCCGCCGAGTTCGCCAAGTACTTGATCAAAAGCAAGGCGGAGCCCATTCCCCGGACCCAGCGTTTCGAGGGCAGGCCTCAACCGACGACCGAGGAGGGGTCGGTCGCCAGACGGTAGTCGGTAGCTTTACTGCTTTTGTGATTTGCACGCGCGCTTTGTATGCTAAGTTAAATTAAATTATTCACCGTAATTATAATTGCTAATTACCACAATAACTACAATTACCCAAACCTATTATGTACGTATCTCTAAAGTGCCCAGCCCAAGTATCTTGCTTGCCAAATAAACCGAAACTGCTTTATATCGCAACCATCTCGACTGATCTCTGATCCCCCTCCATCCGAGCTTTGGGTTGACTGTAGGTGCTTATGGCCTTCGTTTCTGGCAACTGTTGACAGCCAGGCCATAAAGAAAAATCCGTTTTAGCCCCCCTGCCTGCTGATTCATCATCAAAATCTTTTAATTGTCGACGATTCTTCATTTGCTGTCGTAATTACATAGAACACTATTGTTGTTGATTTGTTGTTTGTCATATGCAAATTTGGCATCATATCGAATATGTTGAATAATTAACAGACATATTCGAGTATATACATAAGTATGCTCACATTTACATACCTTTGACCATGTAGCTGGCTTCCACAACAATGGATACAATTTGATTTATTGTCAGCCTCTTTTGCGTTTCATCGTCAAATCTTTGGTGCCACATTCTTCGCGTCTTCTGCTCTTCTGCAACGCAAATTAATGTTCTGCTTTCTCAGGTATTACGAATCTTCACCGATTTGGCAGTTCTGTTACGGTTCGCCAACTTTCTCCAAATGCTCAGAATTAGAACCTTTTTTTTCATTCTTTTTTTTTTTTTGACGTAAAAAATGTTCGTGTTAAGATTGTATCCATTTAAACACAATTCCAACGCGAAAGAATAGAGAACTTAGTAATATGTGCATGTCCAGAAAAAGAAAACGAATAAAATCTATCGTCTTTATCTCAAAGCGCGGAATATAACAAAATCCATTAAAAATGTTTACTTTATCTGATATTTATAATTTAGTGTTAGCTATAACTGTACAGTCCAAACCTTATTACCATTTAATCTCAATATCCAAGAGCTTTGTTCAAATTTATTTGAGACTTGGCTCACAGATATAATCTTAGAAATTGGGTTCTATATAGTACGGAAAATTCTATATGTTTCTATAGACATTCACTTCTATAATTACTTAAAATATTATAATTAATTATTTACCGAACCAGATACATGACAGTAAGGCTGTTAAAGATACTTTCGACTAGATACAGAAAGACAATATACAATATTGAATTTATACTCTTACCGATGGAAACTTAGCTCAAGTAGCATTAAAAATTGATTAGGCCAGGACACTCTTTTCTAATACTTGCCTTGTTTTTCTCTACATATTATAAATGACTTTGCGCATTGGTAGATTTTCTGTCAAAGTCACACGAAGAAGAGCTAGTAATTTGCTTTAATTGGAAATCACACGTGCAATTTTATCGACACACTTCAACCCACGGCAATTATTAATTGCGGCGTGCCGCCCACAAGAAGCCAGGCTCGAAAGCTAAGGACCAGGAAATCACAACCCCATCTACTAAAAATTGATGCTCTCGTAATAATTATGATTTTGTGGGTGTGGAAACCGCACAGAAAAGCTGGTGTGAGTGAGAAAGAGAGGGGGTGAGGGAGTATGGGAGCCGTGCTTGGCTCTGTGTAATTTACTTTGTAACTGTCTCCGTCTCTGTCTGGCTGCTCCCTGTTTGGGTTAATCATGTCTTGGGCCTTTTTTCGCTCGTCCCCGAGCATTTCTCATTACTTTGCTCATTTCGACATTTCATTCTGTTTCATTTAATGTATGTGTGTGTGTATGTTAGCTTTGTGGGTGTGTGTGTGTGTGTGTGGGCGAATGTGTAATGAACTCTGGTAGCACGAACACACGCACACACACACATGGGCAGGCATGACGAACAAAGTGTGATATCGAAATTTCCCAAAGGATTCAACGCCATATTTTAGTCACGAAAAAAGATTCGCGTGCTGGAAAGTTAAGCACAAGACTTGGCAGCAAGTGCGTAAAGGAGGCAAATTGTGGAAAGTTCCTTCACGAAGGTCCCGGCTATGCTTATAATCAAGCGTAAAAATGCGAAATTAATCAACTTCAGCGACTGCGTCTCAAGTTAACAACGCAGAAAAAATTGAATTAAAACTTTTGCGGCGACTGCCAACACTGGCAATGCTCCAAGCCCTGTCTCTGCACCCTTTCTTTGCGGACGAACATGACGAAACCCGTAAAGAAATTTAGCTTGGGGTTTGCTTGGACCGTGGCTGCTGTTATTCAATTATGTACTTGCGCTTGTCCTGCAGTAAAAATTACAATCTACACGACAAGTCAACAAAATTATGAACACTCCTGGGCAGTAAAAAGTAAATAAAATTCACTCTCGAGAAAAACGACCGAGAAACAAAAAAACGGAAACTTTTCTCTGTGCGACGCGACGCGACGCAACGCATCGCGGACACATTTTTTTTGTTTTTTTTTCGCCCCCATTTTGATTTTGGGTGGATTTCTTGTGCTCTTTGCTGTTTTTCCAGCACTGCGGTAATTGCAACTCCCGTCGTCCTGTGGGAAATGTGAAACAATAAATGAAAATAAATGAATTTTTGTTAGCCGAATGGCCACCTGCCGCAACCACAAGCACAAGCACAGCCACAGCTTCAGGCTAAAAACCTGGGCCAAATACCTTCAAATGCCATGAAAAACTCTAAAAATTGCATTAATAAACACATAATACAGCCAAATTTGATTCAATAGAATATTGTCGAGAGATCGAGCCTTAACCAAGCACGAAATTTATAAGACAGTTGAAATTAAATGTTGAATGTGAAAATATGTGTCCTCCGCCGTGCTGAGACCCTTTTTCAATATCGTTTTATTCCGCCTTTAAGTGGAAACCCCCAAAAATAACCAGACATACTGCAGTTGACCCAACTGGCAATGGCACTGAGACAATTTCCAGTGAGTCGAAAGCCATTTTATCAAAAATTAATGTGTAGTTTGAACATTTTGCGACATTATGCGAGCGTCAGACGGGTTAAAAGGCGACCCCAACCATAATGGCAGAAGGAAGGGTCGGACTGCACAGTGGGACAAGGTTCGTATTGATTCAATTGAAAACGTATACAATTCCTCCATGGCATTTAACTCACCCTACAACCAATCTATTTAAATACGATATTGAGAAAATTATAACAGTTTTGTAGAGTGGAACATCTGGAACATCTAAGACAACTTTCCAATCCCCACATACAAATTACAAGCTGCCATTTTCCGGCCTTACCAAGTCTTGTGAAGCGAAGCCGAATGATAAACCCTCATGCAATAGTTGATAAGCATTTTAAGTTCCATTTGCGTGGCTTTTGAGAAAAGCGAAAATATATTCTTTACTCGCCATTTCCACGAAGGGAGAATGGAATTTCCAAAAAGAGTGAAAGACTATCAAATAAAAAGAATTACAGATATGTAAAAATGAACGCATATATCCACTTTGGAGTATGAAAACCACTGTAACAGATGAAATAGGCAGCGAAAAACTTAAAGCCGTAAAAAGTGCGCCCTCATGTCCTCGAGACGTTGTTACTGACAGCCCGGTGGCCGCAGAAAGTTTGTGACGGCTCCGCAAAGGTGACCCGGACAGGAGTCACAGTCGGACGGGGCTGCTTAAATATTAATGCCCCCAGAGCCAGGGACAGGCCATGAATAAATTTTTGGCTATGAATTTTCAATATCAAACGCCCACCCAGTTTGGTTTGCTGTAATTTTGTCGTGACTTTAAGCCACAAGTCGGCAGTTTTTAGCCAGATGAGCTTGTATTAGGTGTCAACCGCAAACAGCCATAGAGACAGTGCCAGGGCCATAGCCAAAGGATCTGTAAAATGACCATTGCATGCACTTTTGGCCAAATTAATTTGCTTTCCTGTCGATATACACTTCCGTTCGCCCCCCACTCGGGGGCTGTGCGTGGGAACTTTATGCGCGACCCTGACGGCCAGGTTAGAAAGGGGAGCAACATGCGCTACGTGCGTATGGCGCCAATTGCCAATTGACCGCAAAACCAAGCGTCAGGTTCACCCAATCAGCAGGAAAGGGAACTTAATCAAAAACAAAACGTCGACCGAAAAGTGGTCAACCATTTTTGCCCACGGCCCGGCCCGGCCCGGCCGGCACATTGCCCACTGATTTTATTTGCTTATCCGGACTTTATGCTCCTTTTATTTGATTTTTATGCCTGGCGCTATTTTCATTTCTGTAATTGAATTGTCATTGTCCAGGCAGCCAGCTGGCAGGTCCTTGTTGCTCCTGCTATGCTATGCCTGGCTGGTTTTGGTTGGCCAACCAGTTGGCAGCTCGCCTGGCATTCAGCTGGTCCTATTGTCCACCCGTTCGCATGTCGAACCATGTCAAAAATGGTTTTGCGCTTGATTGGCGTTGGCCAACACCCAAAGGTATACAAAGTGATGGACGTCAGCGTCGACGCCGACGACGTAGCCGAAGCCGACTACAACTCCGACTCCGATGCTGGACACAGCCCTGAAAAGGGTTGCGGATGAAGTTTGAGTCCGGAAAGGGAAGTTAGAAGTGGCCATTCATTGGCAAATTGGTGCAATTGAAGCTGGGGCTAAATTGCCAGCCCACAACATGAAATAAACCAAAAAAAAAAAAAGTGACAATTGGAAACTGTATAGGGAAACAAGAATTTGCAGTTTTGCAACAAATTGCATTGAGAAGAAAAAGAAAGTTAATTATATTCTTGATCGACAGCCAAGTCCTGTATCTAATCTATCTATCATCTATCAAATCATCTTTAGCCAAAATAAAATCGTACATTAGATTTACGCAAACGCTTAAGTTATATATTGGTAGTATGGGTAAATGTTTACTCAAAAACTAGTTAGCCTTATAAGGAAATCTGTAAAATTATGCTTTAAAAAATGCTGACAAGAGCAACATCTTTCAGATACAAATACATTTTCATTCCTATCCACACCTGTTCTAGTGCTCGAGATGTCTATTGCACTCTTTGCTCGTTGTGAATGCCCATTTTGAGGACAATTTAAGCAGTTTTCATATTTAAAATTCCCAAAATGGCAGTACGTGAGATAATAACAGTTACATTTAATGGATATGGGTGTACATATTTCATATGGAGAATGCGCCAGATACTTTCATCACAAAGCAATTTTCGCAGCATAAAAACCAGGCACACATGTATCTACTCAGTTTAAAGAA